TGGGTGCAAAGCGTAGTGTATGTTGTGCTTTATAATTATTAAATATGTGCAAGGAATCTTCCAACTAAATTTTCTAACTTTTCAGCCACTAGATCCCTATCATTTTTTAACGAGCTGTATTATTCCACATATATGTAAATACTCTAATTGTTAACAATTTTCATTCATTAATCGTACAATAAAAATAAACTTGTATCTTTAGCTTTATTTAAATTACAAAAAAATAGGTCTCAGTGTACACATAAATTTTGTAGATATATTGTGATTTCACTTCAATATAAAATGCGCAATCCCCCGCCCCTAGCCCGCACCTGCGTACGCCCATGGTAATTCCTTTAAATAAAATACCCCTTAAAGCTTTTGTAGGGCAAATAATGCATTTGTTTACACTAAAAACCATAGAATAGTATTTTGGAAGTTTTTCAATCGCAAAGATTTGCCTTAAAGTTTTATAAAATTGTGCTATATAGTGGATGCATACTATGTACATAGCGAGACATACATACATACAATTCGTACGTTTGTTCGTTGATATAATTATGCAGAATGCGAATCTGAAGTTTTGGTCCGCAGACTGGGAGATGCGCCGCATGCTCTACCTTAACTCTATCAAGAAAAATAAATATGTATAAATTTTTTTTTTATTATTAATTTATTCGAATTATATTCAGTTTTTTACTTTTGTAACTTATCTACATAAGAAAATTGTTCAATCTTAAAATCAACGTACACTTCATTCTATTTGTTGCGTGGAATAAAGTTTGTAACAGGTGTCCAGAATTCGATTAGCAATATCTCGGCATTCTTCTGATGTTTCGCCACCAAATAGAGGAGACTTCACACAATCCTCCAGCCATTGTTGTATTTCAGCAATCTGTTCGCCAAACTGGGTCATCAGTATATGTGACGATGTGCACACCAGAGTGGCGCCAATCAGCTCCAGCGTGGCTAAACGTATGCGAGCCTCGGCGTTGAATCGGACAAATGCGCATAAATCGAAAACTTCTCGTGCGATTACTGGCAGGAGTGGACAATTCTGGGCGCTGAACACAAACACAGTTAAGGTATGAAGGAAATTCACCAACAACAGCGCATCAATATCCTGCGCAATGTGGTCTGGCTTCACATACAGCATTTGGCGCGTGCGTGCGCCGCGTACAAGCGAGAAGAAGAATGTGCCTGCGACACTATGGAAACGATTCGTTTTCGCCAACTTTGAGTCCAACGCTTTATTGCGGCTATGAAATCTTTTGGTTTTTTCCTTCAGACGTTGTCGTACTATTCGCTGTGCTGCCAGTAAACGTGACTCGTGCTCATTTTCGAAATTAAATTTACGCGGATGCTTAGCTGGTGTTGGTATGAGCGCTGCTTTAGTATTGACTTCCGCTTCGGCGGTGATGCCTGAGAGCTCTTTAGCAGCAGCGGCCAATATTTGCAACATAAGAATGCGCAGATTGGCATTGTAACAGGAGTTGTCGGTATGGAATTCACGACACAGATACTCCGCAGAGGGCCCAGGTAACGAGACACAAATCGCTAAGCCACATTTGAATTTCGTGCGCTCGAAATCTTCGAAATAGTATTGCATTTCTAGCGGTACAAAGAGGCGCAATAGATCAACAGCAAGTCGGGAATCTTGTTGTGGCAATTGCGTGCGTATCAGCTGTTCTGCTGAGGACATAGCAGCCTCAAACACTTCGTAATTGTCTGTTTTTGTGCTTAAGGTGTGAAGCAAATCCAGTAAAAATTTGGGACGTTTTTCTGTAATAACTGACGTATCGTTAGACATATCATAAGGTTTGTATTCGTCTTCATCGTCGTCCGAATCTAGATCCATTGCGGGCGCTGATTTTTCAATGTTCTGCGAATTGTCGCTCGTTGCTTTAGAAGCGTTCGATGAAACGGTTTTGGAATTGGAATTTGGAACTACAGGTTTATTCATTTTAGACGCTTCTCCAGTGAAGTTTTCTAATAATTTTTTTAATCTACTCACATTATTCGTTGAGTGCGCCTTCTCAGCTTTCTGAGCATGTTTGTAATTGTTAGCAATACATTCGAGTTCCGTTATTAGACTGCCACGCGGCAACTTCAAAACATCTTCATATTCGAAACGTAAACGTTCCTCTTCTTTTGTTTGTGGGTCTTCCATATAGTTGAATATCAACTCTACAACTTGCATGCCTATATGGCGCTTCACAACGTCCGTACATTCAAGATGGAAGCGCAAAGCTTCGTGCAGTTCGCGTTTATACTTGTTGTCATCCAACTGGAGCAGATTGCTAGCTGTTCGTTCGATATACAGTTGTTTAGCGGCTATTATAAGTAATTTTGCAATACGTAAATGCTCGTTGTCAGTTAGTTTCTGCAATGCACTACGTTTCGACCAAATGTCAAGTAGTTGTTTGAAGAGCTGTTGGACGAGTTGTTGATCGTTCTGAGCTAAATACCGAACTATAGCACACAGAGCATGCTCGGCATCTGGCGCGCGTTGTAGCGTCAGTTTTTGGGTGAAACAAATTCGCCACATTTCAGAAGTGGCGGCCGCATTTCCAATTAAGCGATAAACATCGACATCAGGAGCAGAAAGTATCATAACCGTAGCCAACCGGTGTGCGGCGGTCGCGTCCAGCAAAATAAAAATGGTTTGTAGGATATCACACTGCCCCGGAAACTTAGCAAACTCATCGGCAATTTTCAAAAACTCACTTAACTTATTGGCATCTTGGTCGATACTACAAAAATTTGTAATAATGCGGCTTAAAAGTCTACTGCAGAATTCCAAGTTGAAGCAGGAAACATCTTCACATTTAAAAATGAAATTGAAAACACGCAACAAATGCAGGAGCAGAAGATGTCCATAATATCTAGGCACAAATGCATCTGGTAGCGCCTGCCCCAACTTATTGGCAACACAACTTGGCATCGCTATAATAATTTGCAAAAATTCAGTAACAGCTGCATTGAATTCTTCCAAAGGTTGTGCCGGCAAGGCATGCAATATAGATTTGAATTTCTGTATTAGCGCCGCATGTTCACGACAAATGTGTAATATTGCTAATGGCAGCAATTGGGTGTCGCTAACGAGCTCTGTCAGCACATCGACTGTCGTTGAGGACACATCGCCGTCTGCGTTAGCCAAATGCTTGTTGAGTGCATAGAATGTTTCATATATGAAGGCGAAGCTGTAGTCAATTTTTAATAGATTCAAAACTTGCACATCACCAACGGATGGCTTAACGCTAGGCCATTCGCAGTTAAATAATTTCGTTAAGCTTCTCAAGAGTTCGGCATATTCGTACGCGGCGATCTGGGACCAATCGAATTCATCCTTGTCTAGTCCAACTAATTTTTCCGCTGTGCAATATCCGGGCAAGGCTCCATTGTTATATAATTGTTCAATTATTTTCACAATTTTCGCTGTATCAGCTGCGGATGCCACTTGCGGTATGGATTGGACTGTGCTAATTGCCTGTTTCAATGCATTTCGAACGGTGGCAGGTATTGTTTCGATTGTGTGCGTCTCTTCATTGCCGTCCTCGGCTGAAATTGAGAAGAACGTGTGTATCCAATTGGAAATTGTCTCCGCAAAATGGCAAAAGGTATGTACGAGTAGTTACAAAACGTATGCGATTTTCAATACTTTATATTATTTCTACTTTTCAATACGGTAATTTCAGTTGACCAAAAAGTTAAATTTAACTATACTATACACATGTACATTTGGTACTTTACGTTTTCAACTTTAGAGTCAAAGGTGTTCAAGCAAATATATTGGCATGCACGCAAACATTTTGAATGTATGTATAAAGAAAAATACTTCGCTTACCGCAAGCGAACTTACACAATAAACAAAAAATTTGTGGGCATGGGCAGCACAACGGAAATAAAACTTCTCTCTATTCAATTCCTTCGTTTTCTACTGCAAAAAATCCTACATTGCGATTTAGTGACTATGCTAACTAATTGGGAATATTTTATTGATTTGAAATTTATCTAAATCCTAAACCTTAATATTTAACGGTAATCTAAACTAAATTTTAATATTCATTTTAATTTTATTCTTAATTTTTGAACTTAATCTTAACCTTAATTGTAATAGTAATCAAATTATAAGCAATTGTTTTTTCACTATAATTTTTCATTAAAAACGGTCTCCAACTGAATAAAGTTATTATTAAGCCCGAAAATAGCAAAACCAAACAACTTAAGAACGATCACGCTATCACGTCAAAATTCTAAAAATAAAATTTAACTATAAAACAAAAACTTAAGAGTAACTTTAATCTTAACTTTAATTTTAATCTTAATTTTAGTTCTTAAGTTAATGTTATTCTTAGTAATATTTATCTTCACTTTAATAGCAAAACCAAACAACTTAAGAACGATCACGCGTTCACGTTAAAATTCTAAAAATAGAAATTAACTATAAAACAACAACTGAAGAGTAATTTTAATCTTAATTTTAGTTCTTAAGTTAATTTTACCCTTAGTTTTAATATTTCTCTTCACTTTAAAAATGCTAATATTAACCTTTATTTTAATCTTAACCTCAACATTAACCTCATTTTGATCTTAATTTTAGATGTATTCTTAACCCTAATGTTAATCTTAACCCTTATTTTAATCTAAGTCTTAAACTTATGTTTAATGTTAACCTCAAGTTTAACCTTATCCTTAATCATAATTTAAATCATAGCCTTGTTTTAATCTTCAACTCAATTTTGATAATAATTTTAATATAAAGTTTGATTTTAATCTTTCTTTATGAAATTTTAATCTTTATTTTAATTTTAATATTAAACACAGTTTTAACCTTAAGGCGCCACTCAGCCTTTTTCGATACTTCACGCTCAATATTAGTATCGGCGGCAAGAGAGGTATAAAAGAGATGCACTTCCGATGCATTTTGAACGCGAACTTTTTTCGTGACGATTTTGTTTTTAATTACTACGGCTGCTAAAGAAGTTTCACTTCAGAAATGTAAATATAAAGACACTTACCCATTGGCATGCTTTGATGAATGGACAAGTCCCCTAGGCCAGCCAATAGATCCGTGGCTGTTGAAGCACCAGACGCTGCTGTTGTGGAAACAGTTGTAGTGGAACCGCTGAACAAATCAAACGATTCATTAGCTGGTGTTGCAGTTGTCAGCAAATTGTTGTCTACTCCACTAGAAATATTTGAAGTTGTACTTCCTTGGAATGCTGAAAAGTCGGCAAATTCATCGGTGGAAGCTGATGCAATGTTCGCCGAGGGTAGTTCCGGCACCGCAGCACTACCAAAGGCCGAAGTGAAATCACCGAACTCTTGCGATTGCTTGGACTCAATTGCACGCGGGTTGAAATCGTCCAAGTCATCAGGCGTAACAGCAGCACTGGTCAATGTTTTATCATTCGGCACCGCGCACGTTTTGAATATATCATCTATTAAACTATTGTTGTTATTATTGCTGCTATTGCTTTGTTGTTGTACGTTCGTAAGATTATTGTTAATAGATGATGCCCCACTGCCTACACCACCGCCACTGCTGCCACCAATCAAATCATCGCCATTACCGATTGGTGTATCACGATGAGTCGGCGAATGTATGCCTGCTGCAGAAGGTGACATCTTACCAAAGTTCGCTGCAGCACCCATATCAATTTTTTTAGCACCAACAGCCGGTTTCGCCGCTGGTTGCCTTGTGATGCTCGACGTCGTGCTGCTCGTCGCAGATTTTGGACGTAAATTCATACTGATGGAATTCGGCGGCTTTGCTTCCGTTCCAATTTCAGCGGGACTCGAACGATCGTTATAGCGATAGGCTCTCCTGTAAAATGGTAGAAGTTGTAAAACACGGGAAGCACGTTTCCGATATAACCACGGATTACATACCTCGGACTGGGAGAATCGCTATCGGAGTACTCCCTTTCGCCCTCGTACTGCGCGTCTTCGTCCTCGTAACGATCACCGCCACGCGCATCAGAATCTAGAGTAAATAGAGAGTAAAGGGCTCGAATTTATTTAATTTTCGCTTCTTTATTACACGCTATTTATGTAGGTACTTACACCAATTGTCACCGAAATCGCTGCGCTGCGCACGCCAGTCATTATAACCGCTACTTTGTGCACTCATACTGCGCATACCCATCGCATCACTGCTCATGCCAATGTACTTATCCTTATTCTTTTTGGCTTTTTTTCGTTCATCGCGTAGCCGTTCATCATCCTGTATGAAGTCTATTAATTCTCTAACCTGTAATGAAGTAAAAACAAGATTGAGCAAAATAAAAGCGAGGTAGATTAATTTGAGTTTACGCATTACCTTATGCCTAACGTTGATACCCTGATCCTTGCCACCTTCATCGGTGAATGTGTAGTTTTCCAGCGACCGTAAATCATAAATGTGTTCTCGCGAGGATGTCACCACACGCTCGGATCCATTACGTACCAAATAGTTCAACAAAAGTAAGCTCTGCACGGAATGATGTGCTTAACAAAAAAAATGCAATTTTAATATCAATATATTTACTCATACCTTATAGGTTCTTCGCCAATTGGATTTATTGTCTTGTAACATACGCTTCCATAGCATAGACATCACTTCCGGAAAACTCTCATATGAAAAAGTCGAATGTGCCAACTCTTGCATTAAAGGGCCAGTAGGCCCCCAAGGGTCATCATTTGTTGCTTCTCGTACCTTTCCTTCGATTTCTGTATAATTCATTACGACATTGGTGCTGTTGAAAAATTGTAAATTATTTGAGGATAAAGAATAACCATTTATAAATTATAAATGATACGTGTATACATATTTAATAATAAAACTTCATTTATGTATTCCTAAAAAGCAGTTTTCTTTCTTCAGAGCCATTGTTTTTGTTGTTGTAGCGGCTACAACATCCCCGCCCAGATCGGTTAATATCTCAGTCGTTGTCGTCAAGCTCCACTAACGGAAGCCCTAAGAGCCATCATTTGTGATAGTTAAGATTATTTGAGTATATTCATGGTCGAATTCAAAGTTAGTTGCAACTTTTTTGAGAGATAGTCCATATAAAATTATGTTAAAAGGCTGCAACTACATAACTTTGTAGTCGAATTTATTTCGACAATAGTTGCGTTCCAGATGCTTCACGATTTGCAGGTTTTTACAGGAAGTCGTTCCAGGCGACCACCTCCCAGAAGGTTTATTAATGGAGAAAACAGCTGTTCCTGCAAATCGTGAATTTCGTGAATATCGTGAAGCATCTGGAACGCAACTTATGTTTTGACTTCAATTAAAATTTTCTACTGACTATTGAAGTCTATCGGCCAATTTCACGAAAGCAATTTGAGTGGAAAACTATTTT